CCCAACGTGGCAATTGAGTCTAACTGAAAACCCAAGTTCGAAGTGTGACCCGCTCAGTCTTCCCACTCGGGTACTGGGTGTGATCCCCTTCAGTGGGGCGCCGACGTCATGCCGGAATTCATTGTTTCTCCACTTTCATAACTGATTCCACGGTTTCTTCATTTTATCCCTGAATTTCCTGATTTTCAAGCCGCCGGGCTATAAGCGATGCAATTTCCACCATTGATTTCTGAACTTTTTTCCGCTTGTGTGTTGCTCTCTCCATCAATTTTAACCGCAGCCATTTGACAGATTTCAGATTTCACAGTTTTCACACCACAGCTCTCAGAATGCCACCGCTGCGGCTGAAACCTTGGTCAACCTCTACGCCCAAAAAGGGCATGACCTGCATGCGTGCAGGCGGTTTTTGAGGAAAAGATCCGCGTTTCCACCGTTCACTCCGTGCGCCGATTACGGCCTGTTGTGTGTGTCACACCCTGGTTCTACGGGCTTTCCACCTTTTCACCTTTCCACTACCACGGAGACCATTCCAATTTTCCACTGCTGCGAATTCAACAAAGGCAGGGGGGCCAGGCCTGTCACATCCAACCTGGTCCAACGAAGCTGGGATGTGACAGGGGAAGCACCAAAGGACGCTTTGGTGTGTACCTGCCGATTTATCCACACGCTGTGACTCCACTTTCCACGTTTTTGGTTCATGGTTCTTCATGATACCTCCCACAAACCCTCTCCCCACCGCCGCTTTGCAGCCGACTTTGAGTGTCAGATCGTTTTCGAGTGCAGCTGCCAACATTGTTCAACAATACGGTTTTTGCGGACTCATGCACCTTTCCGTTCCCTCACCTTCCTTCCCAACGTGGCAATTGAGTTTAACTGACAACCCAAGTTCGAAGTGTAACCTTTGGAGTCACAAGGTTCCTGTTGGAGTGTGTTTCTTTGCGGTTTTGCGTTTGAAGCAGGGGACAACCCCATGGATGCAGTTGGTTGTCCAACGAAAAGGGCTGCGTTCCATGGCTGATATGATCCTGGGACGGTGGGATCACGTACCTGCTTGGTTGTGATGTTTACCAGCTGTTACCCTCATCTTCTTGGCAGTCACGCATAGGGCTTTGCTTCTGCTTTTTGCACGGATTCGTCGTCCCTGTCGGTCGCTTGAACCTGCTGCGCTTTCTTGAGTTTTGGCGCTTGGCCACCTGACGACTATAGAAATGATCAGGCCTCACCTTACCTGACCTTGCAGGAACTTGGAACCCTAGGTTGCCGTGTGGCGAGTGGCATTTGAGTCAGTACGCATTTCAATGAGTGTGTCTCTCCTCGAGAGAGCCCAGGGTGACCCCACAGAGTGGCCCCTGTGGACACGTTGAACAGGGGCCTGTCCATGTTAACCAGCTTTGGGAACATAGGTGTCCGGAGCGGACAGAAGGAGGCTTATGCCAAAGTTATTTGCCAAGACTTGCTGAACTATTGAACTCCAAGGTGGCTTTATGCCTGTACGTGACCGCAGCGGTCTAAGCAGCCAGCCATTTTGGCACGGCGTACGTGGCCGCAGCGGCCGAAGCTTGTTCAAGGTTCATTGGAACCTGTCGCCACCTCAGGTGCGCGCACAGCATGTACATTTTCAACGAGGTCTGCATAGGTTTTCCAAGGAGGTTTGGGTTCATTGGTTTTCGTCCCCCCCTTTTTTGGTTTCCCTTTTCATCCTTTCCCCTTCACACACTTTTGTTTTCCTCTTTTCTTTCATGTCCTCCAGTCTTTATGTTTTGTTATCTCATCCTTTCTTTCGTTTGCGCGCACATCGGTCCTGGCCTTAGTGTGTACGTGCACATCTACTTACATTTTAAACACAGGTTTCAGGTCGCCCAGGTCTTGACAACGAGGTGGGGTTCATCGGTTGTCGGTGTGCACTTGTTTCATATCAACCACCTACACCTTTGTCCCGTCCCGTCCTCCTTTTCATGTCTTCATCCTTTTGTGTTTGCTGCGCGCGCACTTACACTACCGTCCCAGCCTTTAATTCTCTTTGCCTTCCCTCGGCAGGGCGTGTGTGTAACCTTTGGGGTCACAAGGTTCCTGTTGGAGTGTGTTTTTTTGCGGTTTTGCATTTGAAGCAGGGGGACAACCCCTTGGATGCAGTTGGTTGTCCAACGAAGAGGGCTGCATTCCATGGCTGCTATGATCCTGGGACGGTGGGATCACGTACCTGCTTGGTTGTGATGTTTACAAGCTGTTACCCTCATCTTCTTGGCAGTCACGCGTAGGGCTTTGCTTCTTCTTTTTGCACGGATTCGTCGTCCCTGTCGGTCGTTTGAACCTGCTGCGCTTTCTTGAGTTTTGGCGTTTGGCCACCTGACGACTATAGAAATGATCAGGCCTCACCTTACCTGACCTATCAGGAACTTGGAACCCCAGGTTGCCGTGTGGCGAGCGGCATTTGAATCAGTACACATGTGTATAAGTTGTTTTGCGTGTTTGTTGCTGCTCTGGATCAACCCAGCCACCCCTACAAGAATGGCAAGGCAACGCCAAGGCTGTTGGACAAGAAACTATCGGAAACTATCAGTGCAAACTCAACAAGGAACACATCATGCTTCTTTTGGCGACGGTCCGTGACCACATTCTTAAATTTTTCGAAGCTGATCCGCTGCAGTCTTGTGTTGGCTGGTATGCCTGAAAGTGCACTGCAGCTACAAACAGCAATATGTTCCTAAGGACTCCACGTGAAGTTGGAGGAAGAACTCAGCACTGCCTTGGCCGAAGAAAGAAAAACGCGAGGCAAAGCGTATTTGGCTCAGATTACTTTGGCCTCTCACACAGTGAAATTGAAGTTGAATTGGAACACTGGCCAGCCTTTGGGCCTTTTAGGTGAACTTGTGGCAATGTTTTATTTACTACTTTGTGTAAGGATCTCAGATGTGTGTCAGTACATCGAGCACGTGGTGGCCCTGCAGGACTAGCTTGCACGCTGTAAGCTTGCCCACACCATCCAAAGTTGCAGGAGTCTGATGCCAAAACAGAGAAACGGCGCACCGACAGTGTAGTTGCGGGACTTGAGGATCGTGTGCAGGCATTCGTGATACAACACTTATCAAGATTTAAGTAGTCACCATTTGCCAATGAACACTTGAATTCTTTTTGCCAGGTATTGGAAGATTGTTTTTTCCGGCAACCTGAATCGGCTGACGCGGTGGCAGACTTTGTTTGATAGAGTGACAGAGTGTTTTAAGGCAAATTCATTTACCTAGGACTCGGACTGTTTTTTGAAAGGCAACGGTTTCAGGTGGGCAACATTGGCCAGATGCCCGTGGAGCTGCCAGCACGTGGCATGGTACCAGGCATCGGCTGTAGTGTAGGCCCTGCAGCAAATGTTGTGTAGGCATTATGGCACAACTAACCAGCGCTACGTGTCAGGAGCCGACATCGATTTCCCTTCCGCTCATTCGCAGCCGGGCATGCCCCACAGCCAAGATAGCGGGTGTTTAGTTGTATCACGCACCTTTGGCCTGTTCATTTCGGTTGCGCTGCGTGGTAAGGGCGGCATCACCAGCCCTTCCTGCCAGAACTGATGCTCATTCTGAGTCACTTGGCCCACTTTTTCGTTTGTCCTTTCAATCCTTTTCAATCCATGTCAGGGTTTGCAACAACGTTGTAATTAGTTTGGTGTCATGTGGGTGAATGAGTATGTCGGCGTTGGCCCAGGGGTCAGGCGGAATCAGACTCTGGAGGTGCCTTTACCTTGTTTCTTGGCGGACTGCTGCAGATGAATTGCAAAGAAAGGCTTGCCTGTGAACGCCTCAGCGTTGATTGGAAGCTAAGGTTCTCAGAGGAGATGAGAGACACTTGGCTGAAATTTCTGGCTTTGAGTTGCCGTCGGGGTGGGCTTGCAGCCGCGCAGGAAAGCTTGAAGCATATCGTTCGCAAAGTGGGTGACACCATGTCCAAAGATTCGGACAACAGGGCCGGGCAAGGAAGCCCACCGAATATGCGAGTGGTGGATGCTTGACGAACAATTTTATAGCTGCATGCCGATGGCATGACCTTTTGAAACTCAATTTTGGGAGGAAGAAAATCAAGATTACTAAGGTTGGATCAACATTGAGCCTTGTCACAAAACAGCAGCTGAACAGATGTCAGTCAGGACATGAGCCACGAGTCATGATATGCAAATAATTCTTGCAATGGTATCCTGGCGTACTATCACCTTGAAGAAGTGGTAGGGTATTCACAATTCACTCTAGAAAAAGAGACACATGTTCCCTTTTAAAGCCCTATATATGTTTCTCGTGTCGAGCCTGATGATAGTGTGATTTCACAACCTGCCACTGTCTTCCTCAAGGTGCGTGTGCGGGACCCTTTCTCTTCAAGATTATGATACGTTTGTTTGCGCTACCTGCAAGTTTTTGGTGATGGGGAGGGGGCAAATCTTGTTTCATGCTGGAGATGCTTCGTCAGCCTCAGGCAGCTCAATTGCCGGATTCGGTCGTGGTTCACCTTTGTCTCCATCTACTGTACATACTTCGAGGTTGATCATGCCCCCCCAACCCCCCACATGAAGTATCACCTTCCCAACAGCATATATATATACGTACATGCTGAATGTGGGGGCTGAATCCGCAAGTGATGAAGTAGGCGTGGTGGAGCTGTCTCTGTGGAAAACGGTTTGCTTACTCGGCTGAAAGACGCAAGGAACACAATTTTTGCACGGCCTCACGCGCTATTGCAGAGTCCTTTGAACCCTATGTAACACAGTGGGGGCATAAACATATGTGTTTCGCAGAAGGTCCAAAAGTGAAGAAATCTTGCAGGACAATGGAAATTGGGTCATTGCGACATCTTGCGATGACAGCTCCATTTACCAAGACTAGCCAAGACCCAGTTTCTTAAAGTGCGTTCTGCGTTCTTTTGTGAAGGTCCATCACCACGTGTCATTGATATCTAGGATGCTTTGGGCTGACGACCTGAAATACTGACGTTGAACTTGCAAGCGGGAAAAAAATGAAGGGGTCTTTAAGAAGGGTTCCTTTCAAGGGCACCTATGAAAGGCACCCTGAATGCCTCCCAGACAAAACCCACCCACCCACCCACCCACCCGCCCACCGTATTGGTGGAAATGGTGCCAGAGCTGGGGTATCGAGAGTTGGCCTGGATGTTGGGGTAGAGGTGTTGGAGGATGGTGTTGAGAGCCCGGCTGGTGACCCGGAGAAGGTTGCCTGCCAAGGAGTGGTAATAAAAGATGATGGTACATCCCTTGCGCCACTTTTTCTTCTCTTTGAAATGGACTATGCCGTGTGGAATGGTAAAAGGTTTTGCGGAAGCCCCATTTGGTTGGGGGGGACAGTGGCAAGGAGGTGTCCACTGAGGTTGTCCAGTGTGAGGTGGGGCATTGTCCGGACAAGCTCGGGGGATTGCCAAGTGGCAAGAGCTCCGTGGAAGTAATGCTGAGGGCAGAAGATGCGTAGTTGTTGAAGCTCGTGGTCGGCATGGTGGAAGCGTGGTTGGGTTGTGGAGTTGTTGTAAGCGATGGTGCCATTGCTGTTCCAGGTAAGGATCTGCTTGCTGAGTGAGGGAAGGCTGTAGGCCATGTATGCGTGGCCAGCGTTGTAACTAGCGCCTGGTGACGGTGGAAGGTGGAAATAGTATTGTGTTTCGGTGGGGTAGTATGTGCTATTCATGTTGGCATCGAGAAAGATGCGGAGGTGCGTGGGTAGGTTGGGTTGGATAAGGCCAGGATGTAATGTCTGTCCGGCTGTGGATGGTCAACAATGATCGCAGGTGTGCGCATGCGCATGGCAGGGTAGTGGTATCCGCTGGCGGAATGATGAGCTCTTCCCATTTAATTTGCGGTGGTTGTGCAATTTGCTGCGCAAGGTGCAGTGAGCAGCTTCGCGTAGTTTGCAGGTAGGAAGGTGGAAAGGCAGGGCATGGGAGATGTGCTGACGGACAAGAGTTTTGAGCCACTGCTGTGCATTGTAGTTGAATTTGAGTGTGGGCAAGAAAGGAAGAGTCAGGGGAGCGTTGTTTTGTGGTGGTGTGAGGTTGCGGTAAAGCATGGCGTTGGTGACAATCTGCAAGGCTTTGGTCCGGCCGGGTTCCTCTAAATTGGATGCCGTGCGGCGGATCGCGTAGGCCCGTATGACGGCCACTGTGGAGTCGCTTGGCTGGTGAGGTTGCGGAGCAAGGTGAGAGCATGGTGTTTGGTAGAGGTGAACAGGTGGGGTTGATGTATGGTGCGCTGGCGCCGCCGCAGTCGCTGGGAAAGTTGACGACGGTTGGTGAATCTGGGGTAGAAGTGCGCTCGATGTTTGGCAAATTGCCAGCTTGGGCTTTGAGCTTGAGGTGGTGAGAGATAAAAGGCCAGTTCAAAGGTGGCATCCATGAAGAGCACATGTGCACGCAAAAAGGGCGCATGAAAAGACATGAAGGAGAGACACGAAAAGACGCGAAAAGTATGTGGGGGGCATGAAGAGGAAACCAGATGAACAGGAAGAACCGATGAGCCCGACCTCCTTGTCAAGTGATCATTTGCCAATGTGCAGGCACAGGCTAAGGGCCAGACGAGTGCGCGCAACAAAAAAAAGGGAATAAATGACCGGACATGAAGGCGGGAATTGAACAGAATAATGAGAAAAAGAACGTGTGCGAATGCAGATGAGATTCTGAAACGGGGTCCAGGTTGTGTTATTTTACTTATTTTTCAATTGTCAACCTTTCCTCTTTATATAGTTTTTTTTTTAATCTTTCCTTGCTTGCTTCCTTCCTTCCTTTCCTTTCCTTTTCTTTCCTTTTTCCTTTCCTTCCTTCCTTCTTTCCTTTTTTCCTTCCTTTCTTCCTTCCTTCCTTCCTTCCGTCCGTCCGTCCGTCCGTCCATCCATCCATCCTTCTTTCGCGTTGTGGGGAGTGAGCAAAGAACCCATTGTATACCCACGTGAGGCTGGCGCAAGTCTCGAAGGTGAGGGGCGAGGCTAGAATCACCTGGACCTTTCTCAACCTTCAACTGGCCGGCGGCCGAACATGTCTAAAACATTTGCAAGCCAAGAGCGAACCAGCTGCCAGTTCGTCCCATGAAGGTTACGGAAGTTCGCGCCCGCTGTCGTGTCCAAAGGCACCATGAAAAAAAACCTTGAGGTCTAGGTTCTTGCTCCTACCAAGTATGACAATCGTGTACTCTGCGCCCTGCTGGAGACAAGAAGAACTACAGTATGGCAATGATGCCTTGGGGGAGCACAGCGTGACGGTGAGTGAAATGCAGTAGTAGCAGTCGCTGCTGGCGGTGGAAGTTGGCGTCAATTTCTGCGTGTAGCCGCTGGCTGATTAAGGGGCTCGTTCAACAGCCATTGTCATGGTAGCTGCAGGTGTGTCCTGCAAAGACTCCTGCATTGCCGCCGTGGCCACCTATATACGTTTATCTTCATTCATGCAGAGCTGATTCATGCCATTGGTTGGCCCAACAGCCCAGAAACCAAGGCCGCCAGGTGGCCATGTAGAGTGCTGGGCCATGCATAGCTCACGTCAGGCCGAGACTTCTCCTTGTCGGACCCGAAGCTGCTCCAAGAATATGCAATCAACAATAGTGATACTGCGATACTCCTACCGACATATATACAGAATCTTTGATAGCCGTGGTGAGAACGCGATTTTCCATGCAGGACGACGTAATCCACTTCATCCGGGCTGAAAATTGGTAGCGGCCACCGTCCGCCGGCCCATTAACTGTCACTGGCCCTCACCCAGTAGTTTTGGACAGTTTGTCCGAAACATGCAAAATAAAACGTGCCAAATCAAAGCACACGCTGGAGTATAAGTGCTGAAAAGTTTCAAGCTGCCGGCTTCATGAACAGGTAAGAGTTTTCTTGTCCTAGAACATTATTCCCACTATATACTTCTTTTGTTACTGTAACAGCCATGTTTCTTGACTTCACCACCGCGCAAAGCCAAGGGCATCTGCGCCCAGCCTCGCTCCGGCGCCGCTCGCAGCGTCTGTCCAAAGGGCCACAGCCATGGACACATTTTGAGAGTCATGTGCCCTTATGTGCTGTGGAAGTCTTTGATGCCGAGAATTCAGACAGGCTGCAGCCAAGGTGACAGCAGCGCCTCCACAGGCGCCAAGCCACGCCCCAGAATTTGGAGGCTATACTTGAATCGATCATACCATTGCATTGCAGAGTGCGCAGTGGGCACACGAGAGAGGGGGAGAGCGACGCCTGGCAGGCCCTGGCGTAGTGCAGTCGCAGCTCTGGTTCAATCCAGGTGCAGGCCAATGAACGCTGCATTGAAAATGAGCGCGCGCACCGCGTGTGCCAATACCTTGCCTTATAGCACGCGGTGTTGGGCCATTTTGTGCTTATGAGTTGCAGCCTGCATTGGAGGTGGGGGCAGGACATACACGGACTGACTGCGGGTAGCTCCAAGAATTGATTCCAAAATTTAAAGATGAGGTTGGATATTGCTGAGGGTCCATTCTTCCAAGCAGTGCCGTAACCAAAGCAGCACAGGAAAATCCTAGCATTGGGCCACCAGGCCATGGCCCTGTACCATCGAAAGCCTGCCATGGGCCGCTTGCCAGAAGCAAGGAAGCGATTCCAAAACTTCGAATGTCCAGAGGGCCGACTGTGAAACAGAATTATGGCCGCCCAGGCCAGGAAGGCCCGGTGCCTTGGAGTCAATTAGTGCTGCTGTTGAAACTGCGGAAGGACTTGAGCATGTAGTCAAGGAATGTGCAACACGTGCATCGTATTTTTCACTGCTGTTGTACATACACATCGACCATACCGCATGCTACTTGGCTCAAGCAAAAAGGTGTACTTTGCAGGCTGTTACCTATTTGAAACAAGTTATCAGCCGTAGGTCTCACTGCTTTCCCTGCTCCGCGTCCCTTGTGCGCCGTACCATGGCAGGCATCGGATATCCCGCAATTATCGACCTTTCGTCGGAGCGGGACCATATGTCCACACGAGAGGAAACGCCTGAGTTTGCAAGTTCCACCGCACTCGTTCCGGACGGTTATGGGTTTATGGACACGCCTTTGGGGCCTGACATTCTCCAGTACGACCCTCCTACAGCGAGTGCCAGTGGGAACGCTGCGCCGGTCAACCTGAGCAATACAAATGTGTTGAGCCAGCACCTGCATGTTCACCAAGCCCCAACCACCGACGGTTGATTGAGGCGGTTGCCAAGGAACGACATCGGCATGCCATGGACATTCAGGGTGAACAACTCCAGTTGGTGAGTACTCAGCGTGACGAAATGAGAGTGCAGGGTATAAGATTCATGAATGAGGCTGAACAGATGTTTCATGAGAACGCGGTTGTGAAACAGGAAGCCAATGCTTTCGTTGAAGCGGCAACCAAAGGGTATGAGGCATTCGCCGAGGCTTCCGCATCCGAGCTTAGGTGCATGAAACAACATCACGAGAGTCGCACTGATAGCCGAGGAGGCTACGACGCAGTGGAGGTCAATGAGTCACCTGTTTTGGGGTTGGCAAACCTTCGCTCGGCCCTCCAGGCCTTTCAGTTGCGCGACCACTTGAGGCGCGCTGGCTGCGAGCTTCGCTGGGTCGCTTCCGACTACGACCTTGGCGATGCGCTGACGAAGGAGCGCTTGGATGGCCGCCTCGGCCTCCAAAGGTTCCTGCATTTAAAGCTGGAAGTGGGCGATTAATTTCGACCCAACCTTTGCTGCCGCAAAGAAGAACAAGAAGACCGGCAAGAGCGCCTTGGAGAAGATCGATGCACACTTTCATCAGGCAAAGCCTGAAGCTTTTCGTCTACCGGTGCAACACGTGCATCGATTGTAGCTTGTTTGAAGGCCGCCGTCACCGATGGCCGTTCATGCTCAGGGGCCCCTTTTTACTTCGCGACCTCAGCGATCCTGAAAAGTGCCATACGCGGCTGACGCCTTCACGTTCGACGTGGTTTGTTGGTTGTGAGCCCGCCTTTGCTAGCTACCACTGCGCTCCCGCTACAGAATGTTAATGGCGTCGCTGGGCTGAAATGATTGCTTGCTTGAGCATGTGAAGCGTGTGGGTGTGGGTTGTGGGCGTGGGTGTCTTCGTGGGTGTGTTTGCATTTCCGCTGCCTCTTTCTCGTCTCTTTCTTGCGCGCGTCTTTAAACTATGGTTAAGGAATTGTATACCAAGAGTTGTCATACGTCGTCACCGCGCTGCAACTCATCAATAGGTGCTCCTGTGTTTGAGCCTGTGGAAAGTTAAGGTGGGCTACAACTCCCAGCAGTCCAGTGGACCAGTGCGAGTGCTATGCCCCTTGGCAAGGGTTGATCCCAGAGGGTAAAAACATGCCACGCGTTATGTGTGTCATTTGATAGATGGCATTGCAGCATTGAGGCATGTTTGAGCGGATCTGCGAAGCGTAGACAGGAGACACAGGGCAACAGGGCACCCAAATTATTTCCAAATCTGCCGCCCATTGGCTTCATCATTGCTGCTAAGCTATGCTTGAGATGCATCCGATGTTGACTTGCATCATTCACATTTCCTGAAATCAACGTCGCCATACTAAACCCTCCAATGCCAAACTCTCCCCATTTGCAAAACGTATTTGGAGCCCTCATGAGGAGCCTCGCTACTCAATTCAGAGCCTACTAAACCACCCGGTTTCACCCCAGCAGTGTGGGCGGACGTGCTTGAACCTGAACATAATGCCCACGGATTTGGCACATGTTTCGACGGAGCCCAAGCACACGGAGCTCCATCCAAATAGATCTTCTGAGTTGGGGTAGCTTGAAGTAGGCTTGCCAACAAATAGATGTGTAGGAAGGCTCTTGAAAACGCTTTGCATTTTAAGGTTTAGCAAGATGTCGCGCATATCCCCCAAAGCATGGGCAATAACCAGAGGGAGGCCCGCTCAAAAAACAATCCTTGACATGAATCGGGTTTGAGCATGCCGCCCGACCCGCACCATACAGGTGTCCAAACATGTGGCGTGAAAGCGCATCTACTTTTTCGACGAGGATGGAGCTTGTGTGATTCTATGACCTATTGGTTAGAAGTGGCCAAGGACTTGGCGCTAGGCTAGGTGCTGTTCCTCCTCCTCCTCCTCCCCCTGTCCTCGTGCTGTCCTCTGTGTAGCCACTCTTGCGAACTCTGTGTTTTCCTCTTCTCCTCTTGGCTGTTTTTGCACTCCTCTGGCACGCTCGCGAACCCTGTGTCCTCTTCTTCAACTTCTTCTTCCTGCTGTCCTTTAGCCTCGCTTGCGCAATTTGTGTCCTCCTCTTGTCCCCCTTCTGCCCTCTGGCGATGCTTGCCAACGCTGTGTCCTTCCTCCTCTTGTTGCCCGAGCAATTTCAGAAAGAAATGGCTGGCCATGATAGCTGTAGCGGCGCCGTGGGCTTTCTTTTCCGCCTTGTCTGGCGCTTGTCCATGCCTTGTCCTGCTGTGGGCCCTGCGTTGTCCTTGTCGAGGCTTTGTCCAGGTCTGCCTGGCGGCGGCCCACGTCTTGTCGGGATCCGTCTGTCTTGCTTCTCCGCGTTGTCGCTTGTCGGGGTTGTTTTCGTGTGGCTGTGAATATGCAACAGTGCTGCAGGTCGCCCTCGGATATTCTCATGCGCGTGTGACGACATGTGGCCTGGGAACCGGGAACTCTTGTTTTCAAACCCTGCCATTCCCAAATAGCTGGAAGCTATATAGGAATATGATGACAGATGTTGCGCCATTGGAATTCAAGGAGCTGACGCAGAAATCAATGCCTGAAATTGGAATTTTCAATTGCAACACATGTCAGTTACCAGGTAACAGGTACCAACCGGTTCAGATGTATTCTCTACTAACAGAGGTACATTGTCCCGGCGACGCCATAAATTCTCGCGGCTCGTTTCTATGTTTTCATCACACAGTTGTGAGCGCCAATCTCAGTTATGTTTTCACCTAAAATTACGAAAGCCAGCCTTCGCAGAAGGCGCCAGCTGAGTTGTGTTTGGCGAACGAAGTGAGTAAGTAGGGGGTCTTGGGGGGGTGGCCCGAAAAGCAATACGTAAACTTGAAATTATGTGGTGTTTAGGGGTGCGCGGAAGCAAGGTTTTGGAGGTTGTGTTGGTGGTGATTTTTTGTGATTTTTGAGCGGCTGGTGATGTAAGAAATGCAACTTTCTTCGTTTGCGTCATGCATCATTTAAATGGTAAGGTGTAGTTTTAATGAGGCCGATGTGTTGTAGCTTCGTGCAGCTGTGAATGCGTAACCTCTTACACACCTGTATAAGTTTTCAAAGCACTAATGAGATGTCAAATCCGCGGATTGCTGCACTTTTCTCAAGGTTATCTAGCGGTTGACGGAAAGGGAAATTGAAGCGCTAGACCTGGCAGCTGAATTGTAGCTACCCTGGGTCCGTATAAATGCTATTTTGCTATACCTCTTACACACCTATATAAGTTCAAAGCACGAATGAGACTTCAAAGCTGTGGATTTCTGCGCGTTTCTAAAGGTTATCGAGCGGTTGACGGAAAGGGAAATTGAAGTGCTATACCTGGCAACTGCCTTGTAGCTACCCTGGGTCCGCCGCGCCTAAATCTAGGGCAGGCCGGGAGCCAGCAAGGCGCGCGCGCGCGCGCACGGACCCTGGGTAGCGGACCCAGGGCAGCTACCGCTGCACTTTTCCTATCTCTCTTCAAGCAAAAGGCCCGGGGCTGGCAAAAGGATAGTCAACACAAAATATGGGGTTCCTGTCGAATGTCCAATGGTGTTCTATGTTCACGACCAAACATACCAAAACCACATGTCCGCTAAAACGTTTAGTGTAAAGACGGGTTTTTATATCTCACTTCACCGTTTGCTTTGTCCGGATGCGTCTGGACGTTTGCAGCGGTCGCCGCTGCCAGCCTTCGTAGAAGGCGCCAGCTGAGTTGTGTTTGGCGAACGAAGTGAGTAAGTTACGAAGGCCAGCCTTCGTAGAAGGCGCCAGCTGGGTTGTGTTTGGCGAACGAAATGAGTAAGTAGGAGGTGTGGGGGGGGGTGGCCCGAGAGAGGGCTACGTAAACACCAAATTAGGTGGTGTTTAGGGGTCGGTCTAAGGGTTTTGAGGGTGATTCTTTAAGTGATTTTTGAGGGGGTGGTGATGCAAGAAATGCAATTTGCATCATTTGCATCATCCGATGGTAACGCTGGCTTTCGTTTTGCAGCTCCTAAAATTTCGATCAAGTCACATACAGGTTGCATTTCCATGTGGGTCTGTAGGGGAACATGCCTGAGCCATTCCCATCATGTTAGTTGCCTTGATGGTTGTTTCACCAGCCTTCCGTACCCGTTCCCAAAGTGGATCAACAACCAAGAGGTGGCCAAAGACATCCCGCCATACGTTTCGAGTCTCTTCTGCCTTTCCTTTCCATCCTAGATTTGCCGTTGTCATGCACTTTCGGTGTTGACGCTTTTGGTTTGAGGTTGCATTTGGGGAGAGCTGCGGGCTGTTCTAGCCACTGCCGGGCCTCTTCGGGAAATGGTGCTTGCTGTTTGGCTAAATCTCTGCGAGCGCTTGCAAATTCTGCGCCGGATTGCGTCGCAACGATAGAGCAATTGAATACCCGTTCGAGGATCCTTTGAATGCAGACCTGCTAATCCTGGCTCAGCACCATTTCGCCGACGATGAACATCGGCTGGCGGTCTTGTCGGCAACCGGCCGCGTAGTCTACGCAGAGGTTTATGTGGCGAAGATGCATTTGGCTGATGCGCACAGTCAGTGTCAACATTGTGAGAAGGTGCTGGTTCCCAAGGAGAAACCAGAACCTGGAAGCTTTTTTGGGGAAGACCACTATGCCGGGATCTCAATGTAGAGCTCCTCGTGGGGGGTTGAAGGACATTATGAAGCAAAAAAACGCTGAGGGACGGAGGGATCCGGTCCCATGTGACATATGGGCCCTAAGGAGCTGATGATGCGGGTGAAAGGAAATTGGCTGAATCCAGGCAATTCACAAGTCCTCATCAACCACAAGCTGCTCTCAGAGTGCATCAAATCCAGATCCCTCTATGAGAAGTATGACCTTTTTGTGTTGGGAGCTTATTTTCACTTGACCGAGGTGCAGTCTAGAATCTAAATAAACCCTAGATGGAAATAGCAAGGAAACAAAAAACAAAAGCTTGAGCTTCCTGAGGTTTTCGAGATCTGACATGTTGCACCTGCTTCCATTCCCAACTGCATCTAGCCTATTGCAGTGTGTTGGGCGTGGAGATGTTCTGACGCAAGCTGGCCACGAATTTGGAGGTCCGAGAGCGGATTGCTTGGAGGTCCAGGGTCGGGTCGAGGTCCAATTAATTAGTTCCATCAGGTGTCAACTACAACTTTGCGATTATGCGGCGTGAAGAGGCAGAGCGTTACCTTTGTGCGCCCTATGACACCATCGCCCCTCGTCTTGTCAACGCTGGCCACCCCCCACACTCTCTCTCACACACTTAGATATAAGAGCTCAACGGATCGAGCATTGTTTCAGAAAGTGACGCACGAATGCACTAGACAGTTACCATACTGCATTAGATGACTTGGCAAATCACCTGTGGAAATGGCCCTGCGCACCGTCCTTGCTGATATCAGCGCAACCTGAAGAGCCTCTTGTTTAGATGCCCTCTCTTCAGGTGTGGGGGGGCAGTCCCCATGCTCTAGATTAAAGGTTCAAACATCGAGAAAAGAACCTTTAGAAACAGGGCGTGGCACACACACACACAACAAGCCAGTAAGTCAGCGCACTCTGAAAAAGCCGCCGTTACACCTAACCAAGCTCTAGCAGCGAACAGAAAATCTAGATCTAGATAGAAGAAACGAGAAAGGAAGGAAAGCGTTCCCAAAAAGAACCCAGCCCTAACAAATTAAGAAAGCCCAGGAGAGCAAGGCGTGGGGTGTGTGTATGTGAAGGACACTTGGTCATAAAGCCGAACCCGGCGCACTGGTGATTAAAAAGCCTCTAGCGACAAACGAAAACCTAGAAAGATAAAACTCAAGAGTCAGAAAAAACGGCTTCAGAGCGGAATCTGTGCATGAATTACTCAGAAGCGCGCATGACTTACTCAAGAGATGTAGGATTCCGTAAACCCGGTGGTTGAACAATGCGCATTCTCGTGCGAAACGCTTGATCAGAGGCTGAAATCCGGCTGCCAAAAAACCGATTCACTCAGTTAGAATCACCTTTCCGAAAAGGAGCGGAGTCAGCGCCTCGAAGGGATCACGCGGCACACCACAGTGGGACGATGCCGCTGAACACACTTATGGATATAAGAGCTCAACGGATCGAGCATGGTTTCAGAAAGTGGCGCGGAAGGCACTTGACGGTTGCCATACTGCATTAGAGGACCTGGCAAATCACCTGTGGAAATGGCCCTGCGCACAACGGAATGGTGAACAGGTCAGCAACCCAGTATTGTTATATATTATTGCTTAAAAAGGTCATGGGCTATGCAAGCAGTACGTCAGCAAGCGTCTTGCTGATATCAGCACAACCTGAAGAGCCTGTTTGTTAGATGCCCTCTCTTCAGGTGTGCACAGTTCTGCTGCCAACGAAGACAGCTGTGGACATTCCGTGAAGCA